GCCGATGGTGGGAACGCAACACGCAGGGCATCCTCCATCCTGTCTGGTTAGGTTTAGACCTCTACAACACTTTGGTTAATGTTTGGTACCCACTGTGCTTTTGGTTAAATATTGGAGAAAAAAAACCCGTCCTGTCTTGTGCCTGATTTTTCTGAACCTTACCCAAGTGCTCTGAGTTCAGAACCACTAAAACAAATGACGCATGTTAAAAGTGAATGTTTCACAGATTTGTTTAGTATCAGCAACTTTGCCAGGAGATTAATTGAAAACATTTTCCTTGATAAGAAACGTCCTATCCTGGCGGCATTGCATTTCTTTCAAAATGTATTTGCTGTTGCAGATTAGTAGCACTGTACATGTCATTTTGAGGAAACAGAGTGGCCACAGGACACGTAGGGTCAGTTTAAAGCTTAGCTTTCTGCACGTTCTCACCCTCCATGGCAATAAGATGTAACTGATAAATTACTTCAATTCAAACACCATAAAGATGGAAGATTCATGTCAACTGCATTATTATGGTAACAGTGTTGCTGCAAACAGAAAGAACGCTTGCTGAGTTTCTCATCTTAATGACATGTTCACATTATAACGAGGTCTTTATCACGTTTACTACATAGTATTTATGTCATAATGATTGACATTATTAAACTGTTTACCAAATCATTCAGTTTTAACAAAACACTTGTTGTTTATTCTTGTTATAACAACATATTATACCATATTATACTTGTTATTACACAGCACCAGCGTATCTTGTGTCTCATTATAACAACATTTGTTCCTTTTTATTGGTGGCTGGCATCAATATCCAAAAATATGGCAATGTGCAAAATCTCAACCAATGTTCACCTCATCTTGGAGCTTTTTTCTCTTCTTCGCTGCCTTCGATGGATCTTCTTCTGTATTACATGTCTTGCAGAAGGTTGTGGTGAAGACTGCAGCTTATCTCGAAAGTGAAAATATGTGCCAGCCAGCAGGGTACTGTTTCTCACGGAGCCCCTGAAGTCCCATAAGATCATTTTTTATCTTAACATATCTTTTTCTATATATGTCAATTTCAATGTGGTGAAAAACACACCAATTGCTGTGTGGAACACTGGTTTGAACAGATTATACTGGCAGACAGAAAGTATAATGTGCTAATGAGACAGTCTAAACATGTAATCCTTAACATCTGATAACACTCCACATTCCAGGTGGAATACAACTACAATACTCTAATAAATGAAGTTCCTTTTGTGGGCTAACAACACTGATTACATTCATAACTCTCTCCTGCAATCTCTAAAACTGGTTCTGCTCTTACAAATCTGTAATGCTGTCGCATGGGTACTTGATAAAAGTTCAAATCTGTTTTGTACTTGCTCAGCAGTTTTGTTAAGGATCTTCAAAGGCAAAAAAGAAATAGTTAGGTCTTCATGAAAATGAATGCAGTATACGTCATCATCAGCTGAGCTGGTCAGACTGGGTTAGCAGCTTGTCACACAAGCCTACACCAGTGTTAAAGCCGCCTGACATGCTAGACTGAAAGCAGCACAAGAAATAAAATCACCCTTGTTGCTATATTCCAGGGAGTAAAGGCATATTTCACCATGGAGATCTTTTTCAGTTTGTTGAAAGTGTGTCAAAAGATATAATAAAACCAATAGTCTTCAAAAGTAAGCTCCACTTGTTGCTGTAGTTACTGTGCACTTACTGTACAGATACAGAAATAAAGGAATAATATCTACAACAAATAAGGAACATAAATAAGGAAAATGTCTGTATAAAAATTATTTGTTTAATTTAAAAGCTACATTTTTCTTTTCAGTCCATTAATGTGAGTATTAAAACCATGTGCTCACCATAAAAAATGCAAATCAACACTGAGGAAAAATCTGTCTCATTTAGCTAATTGGCAGGCTCGGCATGGGTCTGTGTTTGTGTGTGTGTGTCTGTGAGGAGAAAGTGGTATTGACCCCGCGAGCAGATGGGCTCCTCTACACTGCTCTGCTCAGTCCTCAACACACACTGGGTCATGCAGGAGAATGGATGTGGGAGTGTGTGTGTGTCACTGACCATCTGACACCTCCCACAACTGGTCTTCACTCCCCCTGTGCTTTCCACGTGAATGTAACAAATGGAGTGCAATCCGGCCAATGGAGTTAATTATCGAGATGGTGTGTAAATACAGATTTCCATATGATAATCAGGGATGTTGAAGGTTGGCAAAAGTAGGCAAATTTTTTTTTTTACTTACTGATTATCTTACAGTGAGTACAGCGCTGAGATGTGTCCACTCACTAAAAATTACAAACAATTAAGACGAAGTATAAATGTCAGTCAGCCTAAAATGCAAAGAAATCTTCCTTTAGATTAACCTTTCTTGTCACGTCCGCTTCACTTAGCTGATTCCATACATTTTTCCTCCAAGCTGTCAAAGGTGGAGATAAGGGCAGAGGAACACATTCTGACATGAAACCTGTTTTATGATTGCGTTGCATTCTTGTCTGGGTGACAACTGGCGTTACTGGCTCTTTGTTATGACCTTTACTCTGACTCATGTTGAACACTAGTGCAAAATGATGGCTCAGAAAAGTTTGCCTTGTCCCTTATCCAGCTAACCATGGTAATACGTAAACTCACCAGATCATTTTTACAGTGCCACTAAAGACATAATGTGTTTTAATTGTTGACTTGTGGGAACAATGTATTGCTGTATTTGTATGGCATGGGAACAGGATTTGTTTGATACTGATGGCCTGTCCAGGGAGTACCTCACCTCTCATCCAGTGTGTGCTGGTTTAGGCTCCAGCCCCCCGTGACCTTTAAAAGGAGAAGCAGGTGTAGAAATCGGATGGAAAGATGGAAGGATGGATGAAACAAGATCCATATTTTGTGTTAAGAAGTTATTGTGTGGGAACAAGATCTGTATACTATATTCATAAACAGGGTTGCTATCCTGAGGGAACAAGATATGACATTGTGGCTAAAGTATCCATACATATGTGTGTAAACCGGTTTTCAAGATGTTATATACCTACATCCCTACACATGTGTGTATACACAACTTGTAGGCACTCTATGGATTTTGTTCCAACAAGAAAATAACTCGTTTCCACAGAAATGTTGTTCACTCAGGTTTACAAAAAATATTTTGGGATTTGAGGGACAATGCCATCAAAAAGTATTTTGGGATGGACCCTCCTTTATTGCCAGTGTAATTATCGTGTCAGCAAAACACAGAATTTTGTGTAGATCCTCCCATCAATTTAGGAGTCTCTTTTAATACTCTTAAATTGTAATGTAACTCAATAAAAGCTAGAATGGTTTACATAAGGGAACCAGTTTTGCTTCGCTTTTATAAATCAGCTTGTTAGCCACTGTGTCAGATGGGCCCATGGACGAATGGCAGTTGTTCACATACAATTATGCTGATTGAGTGGCACACCATGTTGTCTTCTTTTTCACTCTTTGGTGCAGCCGGGCTGCTGGAGAGCTTTTCCATCACAGCAGATACGATTAAATTGATTGAGGGCTTGTCCATTTATTTTTGCCTACCCCCCACCCCACACACACACACACACTGACCATCCTGTTTAGCTGACATGTTTGGCAGTAAGACGACTTGTGGAAGTGGAAGTCTGAAAGGGTTCGCTTCTCGCTGACAAAAAAAATTGGTTCAAAATCAGATTTGGATATTTATCATTATTGGAGAAGCTCATTCAATCTAACCCCATCGAGCATTTTTTGTTAAATCAAATGCACATACAGTATTTAACTCATTTTAGAATCAATAAGGCATCATCCACTGTCAGATGAATTATTTTGCCCCTATATGAATTCAGGACTTTGTTTAGTTGTATACATTGCATCTAGCGGATTGATTCTCCCCGGAAGTCCTTAAGAGCTTCTGTTTATGGTATACGAGGGGGTGAAGGGCACCCAGCTGTATCACCCACTGATTGATTCACCAATCTTTTCTTCCCCAAGCTCAGGTCACGTGCCACTTTGTTCCCTGCAGCAGAGAAGATGCAAATTGAACCAACAACAGCTGTTGAATGAGATGCTGTGTCTGGTTACGCTTAAAGAAGCATCTTGCTGTCAGCCCAGTAAGACGGACAAGAAGTGCTGTATCTCTAGTTAAGCTCCACAGCTTACTTTGTCCATTGATACTTCTCCAGTGTGATGGAGGAGACGGTTTTGTTCTGCTGGTTGCTCTGGTTTCTCTCATTTAGGCTTGTTTGAATGTCCATCCCATACGCACAATTATTTTGTTGTATGTTTGTTTATATGCCATTCTGTATATGAAATGTTAAAACAATAACCTCCCATTTCAAGTCACCACTGTCAGGTTTGTTTAAGCAACAAATACTTGAAAGGTGGCATGGTGGTCAAACCACAAATGTCAGTTTACTTGTCATGAGGACCACACTTCAGCTTGTGTCCTATGTGGCTTTGGAGGAGCTATATCTGAGAAAATAACTCATCGGAATAGAAAGCTAACATTACAAACTGGGGGCAGAGTTTGAAAGACGCCATGCCAAGGGGGGAGTCTGATAGATTTCCTATTATGACTAAAGGAGCAAAAATGCAGGCATACAAGTCTCAGCCTGCTACTTCAATTTGACCATTCTTTTTTAAATCTGTCCTTTAAGTCCCCAACTTTATGAAGTGCAATACTATATTGCTCAAGTACCCTTTAAGTTGGTTAAAACAACAAAAGCTGTTTTAGCTTCAGATAAACTTCGGAACAAATATTCCCCAAAAAACAATGACGAAGGAATTATTACAGCAAACCCTATTTTAATGTTTCTATAGGCACCTGACTAACCTGAAGACAGACTTGAAAATCTGTCTACCCTAAGAAGGTGAGCTACTTAAGATGGCTACTAACTACAGTTGCTTACTTTGTCACGAGCAACCAAAATATGTGAGCAGTTAACTATGCCAGGTACAAAACCATGAAGTGATTTATGTAGCCATATTTTAAAGTTTGCCTGAGAGAGTCATGACACAAATGCGTGCAAAAGTAATAACGTTTAATTCAAATAAAACCATGCAACAGGTCACCATCATCCTGATTAGATTCAACCCGTTATAAAATAAACATCCAAAGCCGTACATTGCGTTCAGTGGGCATTCACTGTTTGAGAGAATAGGCGACTCCTTGGAGGATACTCAGGTCAGCCCAGACTGAAGAAACCAACACAAGAAACCAAAAACAAATCACAGCTCCTCCTGCTCAGCACAGGCCACAGTACAGTGGTGATCCCGAGAAGGTTCCAAGCATACAAACTTTATGTTCTCCGGAGACAGATAGCACAAGGACCTGTACCCACACCCCCCACCCTACATCCCTCCCACTGGCTGCTAATAATCAATCACTATCACAAAGCGCTATGAACCATATGGCACACAGAAGAAGTCTGAGAACATGAGTGATGAGCACGCACTGCCCTGTTAATACATACTCTGCTGAATGTCTAATAGCAGTTGATCCCATGTACCAGACATGCACTGGTTTAAGGAAGGCCCGTCTAATTCACATCGTCGGGATTGCGGAAGCTGGGGCATTTGAGACTAACAGGGCCTGGGAGACCAAGCAAAGCATTATTTGGGGTAATTTTTTGTCTCTTTGAGCATACATTCGGCATACTGCAAGATATTGAGGTTTGTTGTTTTAAAAAAAACAACTGAAAGATCAGAACATTTAAGATATCTGTCAGGCAGGGTTACAGAAATATATTGTTGTGAGTTGATTCGAATCCCTCACCAAAATACCCATATAACAGGGACTAACTATCACCACTTGTGAAGATTCCAGCACACAAAACAAATCAATCAGGTCATTTGTCATTTTACAATCTGGATGTAGAACACAAAGATGATAAAAAAAATTAAAAAACATTAGTAGATGTACAGTATTCTTGTTTTGTAATATCTGATTTGCACCGTGTACTTTAATGGATGACTGGGCAATGGATGAGGAGGTCAGGTTCACCTGCCCATTCCTCCCTGTCCAATGGGAGGCTCCCGAGGTAGGAAGTGGGAGTCGAGAGTCTCAGATAGTATGATGGTTGTGTAGTTTAAAAGTGGTAGAGTCAGTCGGTCAAGTGTTTAAGATGCTGTGTATGTACGTGTATGCCTCTGTGTGGGTTTGTGTGTATGTCAGGGAGGGGTGGCAGCAGGAGCCTCAGTTGCTGTACACCTGGCCTTCGGGTGGCTGGGAAAGCCTGTTGTTCTCTTTCATCATCATGTGCTGTCTGAGCTCCTGCAGCACCATCCGGATGTTGTATGAGTTTTTCCATCTGGACAGCGCTGACACTGCCTTTATGTCCACCTGAAGGGAGAAGATGGGGCGGGTTTATTAAGGCCTCAATGAGAATTGGAGAAGATTTGGCAAGTGAATAAGAAGGACTGCTTACAATCACGATGTCTGCTCAATGTCGTGATGTCTGTCAGCCATCGCCGATGGCATCGTCTATCAGCCCAACCCTATCTGGTAACTTTTTTCATTTTTAACTGCAGGACCTAAATACAATGGCTGGTCAAAGCCATTCTATATGGCATATGGTTAAATGATGCCAAACTGTGTTTTAGTTTTCTATAGAAAACAAAACATAATATATCAAATAAGCTATGTTAAGGACACATGCCACATGAACTATGAAGCTGAGGTAAATGACTACTGAAGCCAGGGCTTGGTACCACACTTCAATAATTGTATGGCACCAACCGAATAGCTTTGATACAGCTGAATATGTCGAAAGCTGAAATAACTTGTCATTCAGTACCAGATTTCAATACCTAAGGAGTAAATCTCATCAGCTTCAGTGAGCCAATAAGCCTCCTCACAGCTGCTTATCTACACAGATAAGTGAACTTCATGCCGCCTATATCTGCTCGTTGGTATAAAAGATAAATCATTCAGGAAACAGTACAGTATTCTACAACTAAAAGCTATGATCCACATAATGCATTGCTCTAATACATACCAGGGTTTTTCCTACATAGAGAAATTTTTGGCACCCTCCAAAGATGTTCTAGCGAGCGCCAAAGGAAAATCACCAGCACCAAAATGATTTTTTTGTTTTTTTAAATAGCATTTCAGAGCCTCTCCGAATGTTTTTTAAAAGTCATTTATCAAATAACTGTTGATCAAGCAGAACATAAACTTTAACATGACTGTCTTGACTTCCAGCAGTCACCTCTCCTCTCAACCACAGACACTGTATGTTACACATACACCACTGGATTTATAAATCAGCTGCTGCGTTGGTTTGACTGCGCTTGAACGCTCCACTATGAAGCTCGCGCTGATGGGAGAGATGACTCCTGTTATTTCTTATTATATAACAGCCGTTTGTGCTTGAAGTGTGCCGGTATTCACCGGTGCTGTCAATTTTACATTTTACTCTTTGGCGTACTGGCACGGGGCTCTCCTCTGCCCTCTCCAGATCAGGTTTTCTGGGCACTGTGTGAACAGACCAATCACAGCCTGGAGTAGGCGTGACATAAAAAAAAAAGGTTGATGCGCTACAGCAAAGATTAGAAATGTTGAACTTGTTGTTCTCTATGCACGTTTTTTATTACTGTCAAGTTAATACTTTGCACAGACAAATAAGACACTAACCACCATGTAGAGCATTTTTCATACACAATACACAAACATTAGCACTAATCAAAACTTAACCACAGTGGTGGTTAAGTTTTGATTAGTGCTAATGTCAGTAAATATCAGTAAAATGGTTTTATTTGCGAAAAAGCTGAATCTCAACTAATAAACTATCTGTAGGCAGATTATCCACATAAAGTGTAACCTGTAAACATATTATTCTAACATTATTCTTTACTTTTATGCCTTTACTCCTCCAGGTTGTTGATATATTTTGTTTATCAAATGTCAGAAATGACAAAAAATGGATAGATTTCGGTCATACGGTACTGATCGTGCTTACTGTCGTGCAAAGCCAGGAAAAAACCTGCATACCAATGGACTTGAAATGAATAATCTAACTTAGAATGTTAATCAAACAAGCCAAAATGGATATGAAATGTGTATACTCACCACACCATTTAAACTGTGTACGCCACTCAGGTTGATCTTGTTCACAAAGCGGACAAGAGGAGGATGCTCCGGGTATCTGAGGCCACATTCTATTTTTAGACTGTATATCCTGCCTTCATAGACAGTCTGCAATTAAAGAAAGAATGACAGGTTAGCTAGTATAGGCAATGTCCTGGTGTGTGGTGTCCATTCATGTGTTTCCATTAATTAACCACATTTGCTGATTGAGCTTGACAGTGCATTCTTGACCTTAGAACAGAAGTTGACAAAACATTCTCCACTCAAGGTCCCCCTACTTGCTTGTTCATCTATGGTTTCAGGACAAACAGAGCAAATGTTATCTGCTGATAAGAACCATGTGATTAATGCGTTTCATTACATGTTTAACAAAGCTTGAGTAAGTGAGGGCATCTTCTCAATTATGAACTCTTAGGACTGTGGTTAGGTGAGGAGATGCACAAGTCTCCAATTTGATTACAGCTTACTGCAGTGTGTAAATTATCTGTCACAACATCAGTAATCCTACCGCTGGGGTAGTGTGCGTTCTAAAGTCAGTTTGCGACAGGTAACACTGACAACTGCAGCACCTGTGTCAACAGTAAGGCTGATTGTAGTGTTGCTGCACAGAAATAGCTGAGTGCATTGAACATAAGATGCTGGTCCTTAGATAGAGCTGCAAGTCCTCTAGTCACTTAAGGACTCATATCCTAACTTACTGCCAATGCAACCATCCTACCAACATCTTTATATGACGTCAAATGTGCTCCTATACCACAGTGTTAAAAGAACAAGACTGCTACTTCAAACATACACACTAACTAGTGCATGCATGTAAGTGTCTTTACTTCTAAACCACACAAGAAAGTACTACATCATAACTATCTAGCGGGTACGCTGAACCAAAAAAGTGCCACCACAGGAAGCTCTTAGGAAAACATGCTCCTTCCACCTCCTAGCTTTTAGCAACCAGCTACAGAAACTACACAAACTCAAACCCATCCAGCTCCTCAGAGTGCATTCACTATGTAACCATACTGTAGACATTCAAGGGAAGTTAAGCTCAGGAATTTTAGACATTTTGCTCAGTTACAACATACCTTTTAATAGTGAAGTTAAATAAAATAGTGAAACAACACATAAAAAGCAATAGGTGTAGGTACCAGATGTGCTCAGGTGGACAGATCTCTTCGGGGTCCTGCGCCTGCTGGTAACGTCACATAACGCGATTGGCTGTATGTTTGTATGATGACGTGGCAGACGGTGATTGGCTGTATGTCATAGTGTCTACGGATATAGTTTTCAGTGAATTAATGTTATGACGCAAACGTTAACTGTCTATCAGTTAAGCTAATGTGTGCGTGTGTGTACATTGTTGCCATATTGCCAAAGCAAATAAAATAAATAGAGACCCCGAGCAGCACTGATCTGAACCTACATTTAGAAATGGGGCACAATGTAGAGTAGCTTAGCTACCGTTAGCTGAACTTGATCGACAGCTAACAGGCGCAGGACCCCGAGCAGATCTGACTACCCGAGCACATCTGGTACCTACAACGGCATGTTTTGGTTAGTATGTTTATTTAAATGAATTGTAACCGTGAACTGAATTCAGCAGCGCACTCTTAATTATCTTATGTCCAGATCGTTCACCAGCATCCTATTAAATAGGAATTCAGTAAAATTACAACCCTCTGCATGCACAGTGCATTCTGCAAACATCACTGATGTCTGAGCCAAAGGACTACATTCTTTCAGGTACGTACCAATTACATTAATCAAGTGAATATACTTTAGATTTTTTATGATATATTTCAAACAGCAGATCGTAGCCTAATGCAAAGTACACAGTTACTTGTTAACACCTTGTGCTAGTTTTAGCGGGCTACCTGTTACCATATGGGATGTAGCTTGACTGAACATACTAATGGAGTAGTTGTGATTCATCTTTTTCCATTCATTCTTTATTGTAAAACATTTCTTTTATGTATTATATGTTTCTTTTAAACATTTAAAGTTTGCACACAGCTCATATTTGTTGTTGTTCAATAGGAATTCAATACAATGTTAAATGAGTCAACTCACTGAATTAAAGTTCAACTAAAGTGTTGATTTATTTTATTTAAATTTTATTTTTTAAGTATATTAAGTAAAGGTGTTGTTTACCTTAATGATTTGTGGAATGTTCAACTAAACTGCAAAATGTTTGTATGCTGCTCTTCATCTAACTACTTCACCACTTCTATATCTTGATGTTTATATCAATTACTTGGAGCACAAGCTAAGTAGGTTAAGACTATGGCAGTTAACGTTGGAGAAACTAGCAAGACACAGCTACATTTTAAGTGCATCTGAAAAATACCACCCCCTCCCTTCAAAGCCACCCCCAAAATACATGTTCATGCGCAGTGAGTTCACGGGCAGAGCGAACACAGGTAGGCCAGGCTTACATCCCAATTTGCAGTCCAGATATAAAGAGAATTTCGACAGATATATAAAAAAATGCTTCTGAAATAAACTGCCAACAGAAGCCTCAGAGTGAGTTATGCCTGAATGATATGTTTTATACACATGGTCAAAGAGCTTCATTAAAAGTCTTCTACACTATTACTGCTGTTCGATCATTGGCTGACAGAGATTCAGCATCATACCTGCAACCTCATGTACCACATGCATTCAATGTGAGAGTGCCTCGCTACCATGCAAGTGCAGCACCCACACGGCCAAATAAAACACAGCCTCTCTTTACCATGTTGCTGGCACTTTCTTGTCTTTCGAGACAGGCCGCTGATTCAGGTCAGCACATGTCCCCTTCAAGTACTGGTTTTAAATGGAGTGAGAGCTCATTAGGAACAAACTGCACCAGTTAATGTTTGGAACTGTAACAACAAATTTGAACAATCCTTGTATGTGCTACATGGTTCCTTTTGTCTTGCAAGGACACTTGTCCAAAACAAATTTTTCAATTCAGTGCAATACTGGAACCCTGATGGCCAACTGAAGAGAAGAGCACTATGATGTCTGAAAGTGTTGTAGGCCCCGGGGCCGGCTCACCTTGGCGGGGCCAATGATCATGCCATTCCAGTGAGTTAGCGTCATGTCATCATCATCTGCGAGGCCCCAGCTCACTGTACCGTCTCCGCCTCCCTTTTGGCCTTCCTCCAGTTCCTCCAGCAGCCGAAAGCTGCGGGGAACAACAACGCCTTCACGCACACACAGAAAAATGGATAATTAAATGAATTCTGTCCAATCACATGCTGGGAGAAAACTCAGTAGTTATATCATACTAAATGAGTTCCCTGAACAGAAGATGCTGACCAAAAGCTAGAACAACACAAAAGGTCTGTAGAAAAATGAATAAAACAAACCATCCCTCTAGTATCACTTACAAACTGATAATATATTTTCGAATGTTAGTCTGTCAGTGCACTCTACTTGTTGGGTAAGATTATTAACAATTGTTTTGTTAGTTAATCAAAATGTTTAGTGCTCTTGATGAAAAAGTTGATGTGCATTGTTAAAACCTGGCTTTTGACTCGGCTTCTAAACTGCCGCAGGTTTGGTGACTTTACATCCTCAGGCATAACCTATGGAAGACCTTCTGTCCTGTACAGTCACTTTCTGTAGAAAAGTAGTAATGGCAGGAGGGCGTTGAGTGTCAACAACACAGATCACTGTGTGGTATCCTATGGATAGCTTTAACACCTTGATGGCCACACACATGCTGTGAAGTTTACACTACACCACACAATTTGAATAATCAGTACCACTAAATTGGGTGTACACTCATCATCACATTTTTGAGTGTGTCAATGTCAAGAGGCTATGTAGAGAGCCTTCATTTATGGCAACAGTGGCTTCCTCAGTCAGAGAGCATACGGGAAGTTATTAGCTTTGGGGTAGCCATGGGTGATCCCGGCAGTGCCTTCGATAGACAGACTGAACTGCGTAGACATCCAATGGTGCGAAACTACGTTCGTTGCAATGCTGGCTGTTAAGGAGCTGCCTACTTGACTATTATCTGTAAAAACATACTGATAAATACATTCATAATACCTACATAGACGATGTTTTCAAGTTGGCAAACGCAGCGTTGAGTAAAATACCTTGTGTTCAGTTTCTATTGACGAGCTACTTTTCGTCATTTCTTCCGGTGTTGTACGACTGCAGTTGCTGAACAAGGCTAACGTTAACGCAAACAACTTATGTACCCATCAAGCTAGTCACGGGCGTCGCCGCCTTGCGAACGGAGTAACCCAACAATGCCCCAGACAAATGCGATTTATGATGTGGACCTCGTCCTAATGTAGCATTTCTCTGACTGGCAAGCTTCACAATATAAACGCTACATCAAAGTTGTTGCAGATTGGATGTTGCTCAATGACTGTGAGCAAGCTGCTAGCCAAGCTAGCTAGCAGCGTAAAATTCCAGCCTTTTCTGTAGCACAGAGCGCTGTTACAGTCAACACTTCACAGCAGCTGGAATCTCGGAATTGTAAAACTATCATGCAGCCAACGTAGTATGTTGGAAGTTGTACCTCTTAAGCAAAATTACCGAAAAGATATAGTCTGAACTGTCGAGAAACTCGGCCTACCTGATCCGGCGGCGGCCGCCATCTTTGTCACTGCTTTACGGAAGCACGCACGTCCGGTGTTCACATGCGCTTGTCCGCCGTAAGAAAGTAATAGTGTAAAAACTACTACATGTTTTCACTTCACGTGCTTCATGTAATTGTTTAGTTATTGGATATGCTTTTAAAGGTGTACAATTAGTTCTTCATGCACTGACCCTCTCCTTATCCATTCATTCCATCAAATCCACCAAACGTTAGTGCAGCCGTTGGTGTTGCATTTGCTCTGCAGTATTTTGAAGAACTATCAGTGGGGTTCAAGAAAGGGAGAACATAGTAGAAGCTGAAATGTCATTTCATTTTGACTTTGTGTCACAGTTTCCTTCAGCATGAGCAGGGACAGCAGAGGAACAGCCTAGAACACGCTGACGGATGTGGTTATAGGAAGGACCGGTTCGCCATCTACAGGACAATAAGGGTAGTGTCAGATTAAAGGACAGATGCAAATTTATAAAGTCATAAACTGGCAGGTGCTCATGTTAGCACTGTCCTTGTGTTCATGGCCAGGCTAGACAAATTTTACCTATGCTTTAACTTATAGGCTACCTCACACATCAGCCAAACACAAGTTAAAAATTGTTGACAAGAGAATATTTTGGCAATGTGGGCAGAGGAATAAATACATTCAGTTTTATAAATTACTTTTAGTCTCTTAGTCTCTTTCTACAAATGTCTTTATCAATGAAGTAAATGTTTTTGTTCAGCGTCAAAGGTAATTTCTTGTACTTGGAAGTTGACAAAACAGTCTCACCTCCATTTAGTAGCTGTGGTGTATATCATACTGTATGATTTTTTGTGTGACTGTATTTCATCTTTCATTCATGGCTACTTTGATGCTCAATTTATGAGCCAGCGTAAAAACTGTTCCATCTACTCATGAATTGTGTGGGATTATTTCTCAATTATATGTAGATTATATGTCCTTGTTTTGATCTGTTTTTTGTTTTGTTTTTTGACATATATGCATATAATTGATTATTGGATTTGTTAACTTGTGTAGTGTACGTTTTCTCCAAAACACTTATTAAGGGAAACTGATTTTCCTCTGTATGTGATATTTTAATAGTAGAAAATAGTTAGAAATGCATCTGTATAAAGATTTTTTAAAAATTTGTTGATTGTCTGATGGCTTCCGTGATTTCTGAAGAACACCTAAACCCTGTAAGTCCCACCATATAGATTTTTTGATGACAGACAGGCAAAAGCACATGTGTAACTAATAAAATGAAAATTTTTTCTGTTCTGTTTGGTGGTTTTGGTGCCTCCACAGTGAGACAGCATTCTGGAATACAGCGTTTTTGGATTTTATGTATGTTACCTGTATTAGTTACACCTTTGATTTTCTTGCCAATTCATAATTTCTGCTGTGAAAATAAAGCCTATTTCAAACAGGCAGTTTTACTGATTTATCTGGATAACTTTGCGGATTAAAACTCATGTCTGAAACATTGGACCAATATCTGATTCATGACAATTGGGGGGTTTGATGTTTCTGGGTTTTACTAGGCAAAGTTAGCCAGATAACTCAGTAGACCTTCTTGGAACCGATTATTACATTATTCATAATATTGATTAATTATGCTGATTTGCTGACTATGGCTACTTCTATGTCAGTGTCGTCAAGTGTACTGTACAAGTGTCAAACAAAAACATCTGGTATTATCTTCCAGTGTGTTGCGGGCAGTTCTTTCTCACAGTTTTTCCTCAGGGGTGCTGCTACCAATCCCCTTGACAAATACAGCTCTGGCAAAATAAGTATCTATACAGCATGGCATGTTTCTAGGACCCTTGAATCATTCATCACCTCTAAACGGAGACTGGGGCTACGTCAAATTATAACTAATTAAAATAATAATAAATAATTTATAGCAGGTCATTGTTTGTAAGTTTTTCCCCAAAATGTCATCCATGAACCTTCAATGAAAAGTGAAAGAAAGGGTTTTGTAATGTGTTTGATGTACATCTGAATTTTTATTCTCACCAGTGACATATTAAAGTGCATCAGAGCTGAAGCTGGAGAGCCTGTCACTGTGTTTGGGTACGTATGTGACAATGAGCATACTGGGAGGGGGGGGGGTTGCCCTCTGACCCACTCCTACCCACACTTCCCCCAGCCATCCATCGCCTACTAGCCAGCCTCCCACCCTCCATCCCCCATCCCAGCCTGCCCAGCTCCTCTCTCCTCTCTAAAGGTTCTCAGAGTGACTGAGAACTGTGTGTGTGTGTGTGTGTGGCCTTTGGGAATGAATGGCTCAGTGTTTTTCACAGGGACATGAATACAGTGTGCTGCTCCTGACAGACAGGCACACTATTCACACTATTTTCTGCTTCTCAAACTCACTTCTCTGTCACCATGCTATGAATTCATGCCTGTGCAGAGAAACATACACAAATCCAGACAAACAGTCACACAGACCAAGGGCCCCCCTAAAATTCCTGGGAATGACGGTACATCAAAAAAGTTTTGATAGGACCCTTGAATCAGTCATCCCTTCTAAATTGTAATCTTTAATTCTGACATGTTCTAGACTGTCTGTTGTCATATGAATAGCTAATTTCTATGTTGTTAATGCACTGGAATAATTCCTTCTCTCAAGCTCACAGTCAAACACTGTGTACTTTTTTTCTGACATTGTTATTTGGGAGTTTCTACTGATTGTGTGATTATCTTTACTCCACTTGAGTTATGTTGGTGTATACCAAACAAGAACTGCAACAGACATCCCTTTATGTGTGTCAGAGGATGTTTCCCACAAAAAATACCTACCCAACATGCAGGTATTGTATTTAGAACAGGTACTGCAAAAAATCTCATGTACTTGCTATATGTTGTGTGTCGATTTTACTCAGTACTGTCCATGTGCTGTATACACACACAGGAGACAAATATACACATTCATATAGGGCATGAGAGCTAACTGAATCGTTTGATGAGGATGAAAGTGATATGAATCATACGCTCACACTCCCCCAGTCTCAACACAAGTAAACACCTGTGGGAGATTTTGGACCGACATGTCAGACAGCACTCTCTGCCACCATCATCAGATGAAAGATTTTCTGTCTAGTAGAGTTCCACACACTAAGAGAATCGATGCCAAGGAGCACTGAAGCTTTTCATCAGAAAAAAAAGAGTATGGTGCTCCTGCACTAAATTGCAGTTGGGTGCTTGCCTTTAAAAAAAGAACAAATTCAGGAAAAAGGCAAAACAATAATCTCATGGCGTCATGCCCAAAGCCATCAGCAGTTTCATCATTCATATAGGGATCATCCTATAAACACTATTTATGTGTTGTATTTCTTTTCATTTGTCACTTGTCTGTACGCATACAAACTGTATACATGTGCAAATCTCTTGATGCATGAGAAAATATCTGGTTACTATAATGTACTAGTATAGCGTCTCTGCTCTGTCAGTAAGGGGTCTTTCATCCATGAAATGCTGAGATCCAGAGATATCACAGTTTAAGCAAATTAGAGTTTTATAATATGAAGCCATACCAATTATTTAGAAATATAAAAAATTCAGATACATCACATAATAAAATACATTACACACATAAAAATTATTACTTTATATTGTAAATGCAAAGATATATGATCTCTGACATAATTCTGTTGCAATATTAAGGATAAAATCAGATCAGTGTAATGTTTTGATTGCAATATCTGCTGATGTGTATTTATATATGAATATCATGACTATGATCGTATTGTATTCTAAGAGCAGAGTAGACCCCACTGTGGTTGTCTTGTCTTTGAACTGGGGGGTTGGTTGTAAAGAGTGGCATAGTGGGTTGGGCTGAGTGATCTTTGAAGTGAGTGTAGCTTATCAGGCTTCAGTCCTCATAACAAGAGAATTAAGAGAGGGGAGATAAAAGGCTTCTTTTCACAGGACGGGACAAAAATACAGAAGGAGAGAGACCAGGAGAGAGACCCTCTTTGACAAGTGTGTGCAGCGGGTTTTGTGATCTCTGTGTGGTCTCTATTGAAATGCATCTGATGTCTCAGAGCGTGACATGTCCTCTGTAAACGGGGTAACAGATGACGACTGGACTCTGAACAACATCACGGAGCACAGGAAATATTTACAGCTACAATTTGAGTCCTGCCAGCTTAGTGCTTAATGAATGCTTGTTTCATGCTTCATTGTAGCTGGGGACTGGTGCTTGTTTGAAGATATGAAGGAAATCACTGGATTTACTTATTTCTTTCATGTCCTCGTATTCGCTGACTTAACAGTATACAGAGCTTAGAAACTCAAATGTAGTTGTCTTTAAAGTGGGGAAGTGCATCCCCAGGGGTCCTTAAGAGAGATAAGTTAATAAGTTAATGTCAGACAAATTTAAACTGAAATGATAATTTTTTACATCATATCTTTCACCCTTTCATACAGTCATCTCATTGTTATTGCTGTTAGGAAATTTAATAGAAAACTGTAAGCCTGTTAATTTAAACGGAGGTCTGTGAAGTGACAATCTTTGGAGATAAAACCATGACAGCTGTATGTGTGTCTTCAGTTGGCCAGAAGAGGTCTGCCATTCACCAGTTTTTCTCTCTAGCTGCTAATGCTGCCTTCACACACTGTCGGATATATTGGACTTACAGTGCATGGCAGCACACATTGACAACACCACAGTGGAAGATTACCAACATCATTCAATAAATGTTTAACAGCATAGTTGTTCCAAAGTGCAGGACTAAAACCTTCGGTGTGACAGCTTTTACGCTCACAGTCTGCAGTGTTTAAACGTAAACTTAACAGCTACCTCCTCCACAGCCTGCCTTTTGATTAAGAATGGTTTATAGACATTATTTACTTTATTTATTCATCTTATGTTTTTATCCCTTTTATTGATTCTGTTTGTCTTTGTTTTGTTTTATTCTACTCTGTTTATTTTATTCTTATTATTATAGTCTTTATCTATTTTATTGTATGTCTTTGTCTTGTTATCATTGTCTTGTCAGTCACCTGTATGAAAGGTGCTACACAAATATGGTTTGATTGATTGATTAAACCTGAGGCTCAGTGAATGGAAGTTAAAAATTGTTACATAACTTATTACATTATTATTAGTTTTCAAAAGGAGATCACATAGAATATCCTAAATGTGTGTGCTTTGGTAAAAGAGATACTGTAGTTTCGGGGAATGTTACTGTTTTTTCCCACTTTCCCAGAGTCAGAAACTAATAGGGCAGACCTTTGTTATGTATTTGATTCAATCTGATCTGAATTTATGTCAAACTGTAATATTAGGCTATCTTGGCTTGATTGCTAAGTGTCTATGTGATCATATAACATAATCAGGATCACATAGACATCCAGGAATTGAGTGAAGCAAAGCAAGCAAAGCTCTCTCTGGACAGTGTTAACTTGTTGCTGTTTAGAAAGCCTACAGTTTTCAAAGTGAGGAAGATTTTGTTTGATACATTTCCTTCCATACTTATGCAATGTGTTGCAATGGCCCTTGAGATGTGCTTTAGTGGACATCTGGATTGAGAACCAATACGTCTACTGCAAAAATCCAACAGATCAGTGGTGTTAAGAAACACACACATCTTAGACCATTACATTGAAAATTACAACATTTATTTGCCACATTTGTAACAGCCAGTAACTACACTTTGCATCAGGACTGTTCATACACTTACACAAATCATACACTATGAGAGTGTGCGACAAAAATAAAATATTAATCCAGACATTTTACTGATCTACTTCTTCACGTACTTTATGTGTAGTTAATTTAATTTAATTTTAAACCAAACTGGGTACCACAAGTTCGACTTAGAAAAAGGCCTACTGTGGCAACTTTACATTATAGCTTGGTTTTAGAAAATACCAGGAGCACTTGAAGGCAGCATGATATATATCCCCTTTGCCAAACCCCTTTTTACGCCTGTGGAGAGCTGGCGCTGAGCGCATCACCAAACCGTTCCCACTACCACTTGCCCGGCTACATGTGGGAGAAGAAACCTGCTGAGAGAATCCAAGAGGAAAGAAATAAAACCAAACATTACTTTTTACTGCATGGAATAACTGCACTGATTTGCCCCCCCTCCTCCACCAAGGCGTTAGAAGTGTAAACTAGTGAAAGTTAGATGCCTGAGAGGAAAATTGCAAGTCTGGACTGAACGACAATGGAATTTGTGATCTCGTAACCTCGAGAAATAACGTTATCTGTCTCGGCTAATTTGTCTGCGTATAGAAGCACCGGTTGCGGACAAATTGGATACACTGAATGAAAGCAGTGAAAACGCGTTTGCTTGGCTGTAAAGAAGAGTAAACCAGCGTTTTGGGCAAGTGACTGAAGAGTTGCACACGGGACAAGGTGAGTGGAAGTCTGGGCCGTGTAACGTTAGTCCGCCTCTGCTGAACAATCTCCTCGTTCTTATTTATCTCAGTTAAAATTACAACTGCGTATGTTTTTCCACTTGTTTTACTTCCACATGACCGGGCTTCTGTCTTGTGAACGGCAGTATGAATGAAGTCATGACGTTATTTGAGCAACTTTTTACTATAAACATCGTTGTGTTCATGGTTTTGACTCTTGCCCACTTTGTTTTCATTCAGGCTTTTGCTTATTAATATATATTAGCTACGTTAGCTATCGCCAAGTTAGCTCACTAAAGCGCAATAACTGGTGAACAGCGTGCTTCCCTTGAGTTAGCTAACTTATCCAGCGCACTGTCCTCTAGGCGTCGTTGCTCCAAGGCTATAGCTATCACTGTTAAATTATTACACTGGCGTGGACTGATAAAAGACTCAAAGTTATTAGTGCTGCTTAACTTAGTTACGCAGCCAGCGTTGACTTAACTTGGCCCTGGGTCATCACTCAGATAGACATTTGTAACGTTGAGGTTTCTCACTGATTTATTTCTACATTTCCTCCCGAACAAAAGGATTTGAATTCTACATTGAAGTAGTCGCACGTAGTCACTATAACACACATCACGATTTACTACTATTTAGGTGTATGAGGATTGTGTAATTAAATTATAGTGTTTTATTATTATATACCTGTGGCGAGTTTTTTGAGAAGCCGCCTACTCATCTAAATGTCTTGCATTTTATTTCCTTGAGGAACCGTTACTTGTGTTTGTCCATACATAACACAAACACATTTAGTTAAAATACATGGAGATCTTACAACACAATGTGAAATTATGCGTCAAATAACTATCACTATCTTAAGAACTATATTTAATTTAGGGAAATTCATAAAAGGTGAGTACTGTATTCCAATCAGTGTTGAGTATTCATCCTGAAAAGCCTCATTTCCAGTCATAAACCTTAATATAAGAAATAAGAAATCACCAGGTGATCAACATGCTGCGCCTGATAATGGTACTCTGTAATAAGATAAAAGGTCAAATGCGGGTCTTCCTGTTATTTATTTTTTTTTAACACAGTCACTTGTGCAGTATTTAATTGTGTTTATCAATATACACATGGTTACAAGTGTCATTACTGACAGTTCTTCAGAGGGGCTGCCTATGAGAGTGTGTGACCTTTTGTGTTTTCAGGTCCCATGGGTGATGGTCTCCTCAGTCACAGTTTAGTGCCTTCTAAAACCACAACCATCTGCTCCTATTGCCTCATAAGATAATTGATGGCTTAGTATAAGCCAGGAAATGAGATGGAATAACTCCTCCCGATAATGATTGCTCATTTATTTCACATTGTCGGTAGCATTGGGAAAAGTAGGATGTGCCCAGACTTTGGGCCTGCTGTCGTACTTTTAAATGGAAATGCATTTTTAGGTTTCCTGTGATAAAACACTTCATGACATTAATAAAAAAACATCTCTAGGCTATATAGTTAATCTGTACAAATACATATTTTTAACCATTACTAAGGCCAACATGTTTTGGGGATTAAGTTATTTTTGACAGCAGTAGAGATCCAGTGTAGCTGCACCAGAAGTTAATCTGGAGCATTTATACCATGGTTCATTTTGGGTTGAATTTAGGCTACCCCTAGTTTTCAAGTTCTTCAGTAAAGATAGGCTGCAGGTACTGAACATTGGTCAAGTGAGACAAGTAAAGCTTTTCATTGCTTCCTGAAGTTAAAGTTGTGATTCATGTCAGATTACGAGTGTATGCAATTAAGAGAGGCTGTTTAAGTGGAGTCTCTGACACTTAAGTGGAACACTAGCCCTTGTTTTCATTACCCCTGAGGGGAATGACTGTTTGTTTATTAGCAGAACTAGTAGCCAGCTTGTTCCTTGCACCTGGATGAAGTCAGACACCAGGAACCAGAGTTGTCTGGAAAATAGTATAAATGCCGTCATTATGGTGAGCAGATTTGACCTTTAAAGGCTTGACCTGTGGTGACCTCAGATGGAAAAAGTTGATTTTTAAATGCTTGCTAGATCAACGAAGAGGACTATTTGTTGTTTCAATCATTTCAGTTTAAAACACGAAGGAGGAAAAAAAAACATAATGGCATTTCAAGGAAAATCATAGAGAAGAATTTCAGGTCCAGTTGATTGTCTTCATGTGTTGTATCTGTGGAATAACGCAGTATAGTAATAGAGTGAGTCACACTTTTGGACGAAGCCTTTGGTAAGTTGTAAACAATATTTAGATTTCTCAAGATTGAACTAAAAAGATATCTTGCATGGAATTAATTTCACTTAACTTGTGTAGTAAACAACTTTACAGATTTCAGCATTTTAACAGACAGGATTCATGACAGAGTTGGTAAAGTGCCTCTCCAATAAACAACATTCACCTCACAAATTCTGCCACAGTCAAGGTGCTAAAGGTCAAAAGGTGAATGGGGTTGGGTGTCGTATGCTCTTGTTTTCTGCGTCTGGCAGCTGGAAGAGGCATCTGGTGTCAAAACCTTTCACGATTACCTGGCTTCCAACCAAACAAATGTCCTTAATCAAAACTTTAGTGAACCCGTGTCATCATCCAAAGTGAGGTGTGAGGGCAAATGTTGTCTGAGAGTATAAGGGAACTGGGCTATGTCTTGCTTTGCATTCCTTGTGACATTTATTCTGTCATTCTGAAAACGGAACAGGTGAGAAGACGTCGAGGATGGACCGAGGGTTTGATGAGCTGCGCCCGGTCATGGCACTAGCTCATCAGCCTGGCCATTTAATAAGTATCTGTGAACATTGCACAGTCAGTTGACAGAGCTGTCACTGCAAGATACCAGGTCACATGTGATATAGAGAAAAGTAAAGGTTGGGTTTTTCTCAAACAGAACTAGTTAATAAGACAAGTATTGTCCGACTGCATCAGAAATCAAGTGTTTAAAGCTGTTTACAACCACAGAAGTTAGGGTGACAAGCTGCCCGTCATATAAAGAGGGAAGATGGGATATCATTTGGATATGGGGAGAACATTGCACATTTTCTGACGGTTACTCCTGAAGACATTTATAATCTTGCACTTGGTTGTGCAAAGTGAAAGAAATAAGTGTGTAAAGAATGCGGGGGGGGGGGGGACTTAAGACAGAACTTTAAACCCTTGCTTCTTTCTCACCTCGGCACAGTTAGCCAACCACAGAGTGCAGTTGGTGTGAATGTCAAAGTTAAAGAAACTGTTGGACCCAACCTTCCCTATTCTGATGTTGGAAAGGTGTGGGTGGAGGGAGTTTCCAAAACTATTCAACCACCATTCAAGTTTGCCTTCAGGGCTTTCTGAATTAAAATTTTTTCCTGACAAAGTAGTTTTTGGTCCCTAACCCTAACCATGTAGAGAGGCCTTCTGCAGAAAGCCCTGAGGGCAACCTTCCCTCATGTGCCCGTCCAATAAGCAGTGCTGATGAAGCATACTGGCAAGTTGAAACATTGTTCCTCTGTGAGGAAAAATCCACCCATCAATCATCAGCTGATGGGTCATCCATGTAGTGAACATATCTGCAACCAGTTTTCTTGGCTGTTGGAGGGCACGATCACCCCAAAGGGGATCAAAGTACAGGTTATTTGGAAGGGCAGCCGAGGCTTGACATGTGAACACTCAACTTGCCAGTCAGGGGTCGGGGGGGGGGTGTCCTCCTCTCCCGTGGCCAGATTAAGTACTCAATTTAATTAAGTCACTGAGCATTAAGTCAGTAACCTTATCAGAGTGGTCTCACTGTTTAATGGGGCTTTGTGAGCCAACAGATGCACAAAGATTAGGGACAATATGCTGGTGGTGCAAACCCTGAGCGGAGGGATAAAAGATGGGCACGGAATCTGATATGAGGTGCCCCTCCTGCAAGATACCACCACCATGCAGTAGGATATCTGAAAATAGCGGACATGACATATCTGAGGACAGTACATTATACGGTTTTAGTGTAGTCAGGGAAGTTATTTAAAGATCTTTTAATACATCTTTAAATGAAATGGGTAATCTCATGCTCTGTGTTATACTGTGCACTTGGTCTGTGCTGTAGTAAAGTTCCATGAAATATTCATGCAGTGATTATGTACATTTGTACATACAAATGTTGAGATAAAAGTTAAAAGACAACTCATAAGGGGTGTTTTTGTTTTTTTGCATATTGATGTAGAGTTTCAGACTGATTAAAGAAATCCCCTTAAGTCACAGCACCATGAATATATGATGACTTAGTTTCTTTCTTTGCTACTGATTAGGTCCCTGTGAGGAGAGAGGCCTGACTGGCTGTCCACTCCGGTCACTCGGATCTCTCTCTGCATATTGCTTACGATGAACATTACAAATCTAAGCCCCAAGCTGGACAGGATGAAGCTCTTGTCTTTGTGTCTATTATCTGAATCAGCAAAGCCTTGGTTGTGTTTTTCAGCGGAGGATTTTCTTTGATAACAAGAACAGTGATAACCCTCCTCAGGATTTCTCGGAGGATTTAATTAGACAGGGTAGCCTGTTCATTATTCAGATATGTAAATGGAGACCCAGATACATGCAGTGCTGTGGATTGTAAAATAGATTTGAGTGTTGAAATCCCTTTTGAAGCAGCAAGTGAAGTTCTCTGTAAGAGTGTGAATTATTAACTCACCAGGGTATGCTGCGTGCCCCCACCAAATTCCCCACAAGCTCATGGTGTGAGTGCTCAGTGTTGAACCAGGAGCACTCATGACGTGATGGTTTACCCACTTCCGGTTCTGGCATGGCGCCTGTGTTTGGCTTTGCAGCTGGATGACTGGTTTTATTTGTTTCTAGCGCTATATCGCTATGTTTGTCCTCAAATGTTGAGTCTACTGCTTGGGTGGACGATCACCAACCAACACTCCTGATTAGATCCTCCACGGCGGAACACATATCCGTGGAACCTGTTTTCTGTATGTGGCACGGAGAAAGCATAATCCGATGTACAAAAAAAAAACTGCAGAGAAGGCAATAGAGCCAA